AGTTAACAGACACACCACAAAGACAGCATACGGCATATACAAATAACTTACATACGGGTTCTCTTCAGTATTAATTTGATTTATTACAGATGACCATATGAAACTTATTTGTATTGATTTTTTTCATAATTTATCATTCATGTTTACATAAATACATTTTAAAAATTTCAGTCGTATTAAGGGGTCATGTCCTCTATCTGGAATAAGTTGACGTATAAAGAAAACAATGTTCTTAAACATACAAAGTACTGGATACAGCTTATTGATTTTTGGGCTTCTTTTTTACCAACTTAATTGTTTTAAATCTGTATCAAATATATGTTTTCATTAGGTATATAAAATTTAAAAACGCATTAGAATTTCCAGACAGGAATTCTTTTATTCCTCGACATATATGAATAATATATGGTATTTTAAACAGTCACGGATTAATTTGTAGCGCGGCGTCGAGTTGAGATTAACTGTGAACACCGCTACCAGGAAACACGTGCCAGAGAAATCAGAAGGCGAGGGTTGAATGTAACCAGATTTATTTCGTTGGCGATCTCGTGGTATTGAACGAATACCGAGATCGTGCCAAGAAGAGGTACAAGCGAAAGCAGAAGACAGGAGTACGTGCGAACAGTACCAAAAACCGCGGAACAATGATGGAAGGTAATGGAAGCACAAAATGGCTATAATTAGCACAGTTAAACAAAAGCACATTAAAACAAACACTGGTACAGTTGGTTATAATAATAATTGTTTTTATTAAACCAGTCGTGTTCTCGTGATAAACGTGAGTCACTACAAATTTATAACAGAATAGCAAACATGATGTTTAATGATATCATGTTTGGTTATCCAAAACAAACTTAAATATTTGTTTATAAACGTCCAGTTGAAGTTCAGAAAACAGACATTGCCGATAACAAATGACATTCTCGTGAAATACACTTGAAATATGTCTACTTCCTCCTGCTCTCTCTCTCTCTCTCTCTATATATATATATATATATATATATATAACCATACGAAAATAGCTTCGAATGCCTTTACCACATAGTCATCTCTTACAACATATAGCAAGAAATCTAATATGTAATTGCTGATATTTTGGACTGTTTAGCATGTCCCGAAAAACCAACGATTCAAAAACTTACAAATCCATGATTGTGTAATAGCTAGTCATTTAATTTATAATGCTACCATCATCACTATTTTAACTCGGTTTACCAAAAACCCAACTTGACTTCATAGCTATTAAAAACTGAACCATTTGGGATAGTTACTTGATAAGGCTTGCTGATTGAACGCAATATTCGGTTCCTAAGCTATTCTCGTAACCCCAAGCTAGAACTACACAGCGACCTGAACACGAGAGAAAAGGCGCAAAATATACGGGGAACATTTTACTCTAAAGGTTCGTTTTAGTACAGGAAATACAGGGTTTTTATAGTATTTTAGATGTCCTTGGGTATCCCGAAGATTCTGGAATGCCACTAAACATAGTAGCAGTATAGCAATCAGAAACTCTACATGTGAGTTTCCACTTTCTTGACGTTTCTGGCTAAGCTTCAAGTGAATGCTGATTAAATGAAATGCTTCTTAATGTTTCCTGAGCCTTTGTTGTCTTTTGCGAGTTTTCTGGAACATCACTAATTTATCACTATGATAGTGGACTGGATTTTCGCTCATTTTCCACATGCTTTCTTCGATCTTTAATTAATTGATTGGCAAACTGTCCACCTCAAAAAGTAATTTTCATTGATCCTCACTAACTCGACAATTAAAACTCGAGTAAATCATTCTGATTTTTCACAATTATTACGCACCGCAACGAATTCGTACTTGGGAGACTGAAACTGGTTCTTACTCTAGTAATTACGTGCGTCTATTAATATGGTTCAACAGTGATCATGTTAAGTACACAAACGAAGGTAAAACAGCTGACAGATCAAAGATGATTGAGGATAATATAATATTGCAGGATCACAACGTAACTCTGCCTTCCAAATGGTATTCATCAAATTACAACAAAAAGAGGGGAAGCTCAAGGTTATTCTAGAACACATGCCTTCAGTCCAAAAGAACCAGTCTGAGGCTTCGATACTTATCTAGATCTATTTGTAAATAGGCTTGAAAATATAAACTTTCATTGATAATCTTCACCATTCCAACCACTCATATACATCATTTTCGATTATGTTGTGTTAGATAATTCCTTTGTACGGCTTCAAAATATGATGACCGTTAACTGTATATTTTAGTAGGCTAATTCTCCTGATATCACTACAGCTTTACTCGAATATTGAGAAAACCTAAAACTAATAGTTGGGATAACTAGTAAAACCCACAAGCGTGGGAAAGGAGAGCACACCGGAAAGTGAATGAGTAAAAAGTGCAAGCATTTATGTGTTCCAAGTGTTAATCGATACATGGATCAAGTTATTGAATGTTTTAGTTTACAACCATTGAGAGGCTAAAGGTTGAAGTGCAGAAATACATTAAATCAGACTTACATTATGCTTATACACAGTGGATCAATCGTCTAAGTTACTACACGTAGGTAGTAAAAATATAAGACGGTTACTGTTATGTTATATTATGTCACCATTTGATGAGTGCCAATAAATGCAAAATTAAAGAATTACACTGATCGGTATTATTTTTCTACAATTATATGTCCTCATTAGAACGAATCGTATAAAACTTTCGCGAGTGAATCCACACGAGGTTTTGATGAAATCCCTGAGAATTATCACGCATATTCAATAGACAACAACCTAAATATTCGGTGTTTTGAGTTAGTTGTACACTGTACTATTATCACTCATATTAAACATGCATCAAATAGTAGCACAAATGATTATCCATACATACATACCTCCTGATGGTTTTAGGAAAGCAGGAATAAATTCGATTTGCTCTCAGATTTAAATCTGTTAGCCACTAAAATCAATGGAAATTAAATTAAAAGTATCTGAATTGAGCGATAATACTCAACTGCTGATTGCCTGTTTACTTAGTTCGTGCTGTGATTAAAATCATATGAACATCAATTTTTCCCAGCCTACTTTCGGTTCTAAAAATAATGAGTTGTATAGTAGACGCATATGAATACATAAGAACAAAAATGCCGAACGCATTCATTCTCACCAAAATCATCGAATGCAGACATACATAAGTTTTTAAAGAATAGCAGCGCACGTGCAACTGAGTTTGTTCACATTTAATTTGGTTAAGCCCATTTGTTAACTTGTTTAGCAGATAGTCATTCGTACAATAACAACATATCCATACCATTGCACATTTATTATTGTTGCACGTGTATGAATATGCGTGCTTGAGCATTGCTTACTGCCTACACATATATTTATTCTGTTAGCTTTAATGTTAGTCGCTTAATTGATTCGATGATCCATTCATTTCACCATATATATATATATATATATATATATATATATATATATATATCCTGTTCATTCACTCGCCAATTCAATCCGCATGCTCACTCACTTGCCCGCTTGCTCTTCGGCACTACTCCTTAATGTTTGTTTAGCACATCTGTTATTTTGGTTATCTGTGCGTGATGCAATATTAAACGTCACCAACACTTCGTATTCGCCTTCTCATTAATAAACCATTGAAGCATTATTTAGTGACGTTTATCAGGACGAACTGTATACGAAGTTTAAAGATTGTATTGAATACCGACCACCACAAATGTTATTATGAACGTGTTATAACCCACCTAGAGCTGTGTAAATTCAGAAAATCAGTGTCACAGTGAAGGCGAAACAACATTTAGGCGATCTTGCACTGCATCCACGACATCTCGACCTAGCATCCTACGATTGATGCAAAGAGATTTTTAACACACCCAATCTACTAACCACCAGCAGAACGCGTAAGTAACCACACTATTTTGTATTTCCTTAATAATTAACCGATAAAGTGAAACGTTAGACCGAAAAATTACGACTGTACGCCATTTGTTAATTTTCGGACTGAAGGGTAAGATGTGTAAACACAGTTCTTAAAAACTGAAGAAAATTTATTTCCAATATTGACCGAAGATATCAACCATAACAGTGTAAAATATGATCCAATAAACAAAACAATATGTTTAATCTATGCAAAATGTCGTAAAAATGCCATCAAACAGAGTGCAGTGAAACATGAAGAGAGGATTCGCACACAAATCACCAGTATCACTGATTTCTCTCCTAAGAATAATATTGAGATATTCCTAAAAAGTAGATATTGTGTGGTGATTCGGAGTTAAGAACAGTACGTGAAAACAATTTGTACAGTTGCAGTTGAATCACATATAAACTAGTTGGATTATTCGTTAAAAGGTGATTTACAAGAGAAATTGAAGGCGAGACTATAATTTATGGACGAATCAATCAGCTTTAGGATAACATGTCTTGGATTTTGGCGCGAAATTTATTCACATATGTTTAAATAACGCATTGGCAATTTAGCTGATGTCAGATCGTGATGAAAACCATAGATCTAATTCCTAACTCCCATAATCAATTTTAAATCATAATCCTTATTCTTCAAACTGCTTTATAGCACTTATTTAGCACTAGTAAGTGGACATTTTCAAGGTCATTTTAGACTCGCTGGGAGGTCGCCCATAAATTATAGTCTCACCAAATTGATTACTTATCGATTGAACTACATTTTTGTACAATCAAGTTATAAAACATTTTTACAATTAATGGATATCGCTGATTATTTGGTTGAAGATGTGCCAAAATAATGTCATATTTTACTCATTAATCGAGGAAGAATGACAAATAAGTTTGTGCTTTTCTACTGGCTGAAACAGAATTCTAAAAAGATATGATTAATTATGAATATTTAACCGCTACTTTAAGACATCTGTTATTAATGTGTAACTTACCACAGATTTTGGCAATTTGGTTGTAATGATGTCCCATCTAGTGAATTAGATCAAATCTCATCTAACTATGCATGAAATCACTCAGCATTGAAAACACGTAAATATATGGAGAAGGCATTTTCAGCGTTATATATTTTTGAGTAAAAGAAAATAATACAATCGCAATAATTAGAGCTCTAGATTACTTCGGAAATATTCCTTTTTGATATGTTACATTTTATGCGAATTTCTCTCATTACTTTACTGGCAAATAATAATGACAGAGTATACACAGAACCAAGTAATAGAATACAGACACGTCATTTACAAAACATGACGAAATCAACAATGTAAAAGGTAATAAAGCATGTACAAAGTGGAGAGGAAAATCACACTATAACATCATTATCATCATCGTTATTTGAAAGCGGGGAACAGGAAAGGAAATAATCCAATTACGCAAACAGAAAGAAAACACAAGTTAGTTTACACTAAACTAAATATGGACAAAGAAAAAAAACACATAAAAATTGTTGAATGACAATATACAAAGAAAAGAAATAAAAATATTAGCAAAACAAAAAGTTATCTGGCTAACTGAAATAAGTTTTACGTCATTATTATCATGACCCAATAGCTCTACCAGAACAGTAGTATGTTTTAAAAAAAGTGGAAATGTTTTCAAGTTAGAAAAGTAAATTACCTTGCTAGTGGTGAAAGATTCGAACATCCACTATCTTAAGATATTTTTCAAAGCTGCAGCCTGTCTTCTTGTAGTAATGATAGGTTCAAAAGGCTGTTAAAAGGTACAGAAGATAAAGAATCAGTAATTTACGAAAGGCAACTATATTGAAATGTCTAGTAACCTACAACAATATCGATCAAATACAAGAAATATGAAAGATGTGGCTGGTGCTACGGAATATGCAGTAACAATCGTCATCCGAGTGAACATAATATATAAAATGGTAAAAAAAATATATTAGGGAAATATAATGCTTAATAGCCACTGATGATTGAAAATGGTTAAAATAAATCATATATATATACGACATAGTACAATCAACTGAGACTCAAACATTTTCGGTTGAAATTGAAATGCTGATAATCAGTTACTTATTCTTCTCATTGCCGTCAATGTTTCAACTTAGTATGACAAGACCAATCACGCTACACTTAAGTGCGCATGCTACAATTGAGTAATTTGTTATTAAATAATCATGGTACGGGGATTTTTTTTAATGTTTATTAGGCGCAATCAGTCTATTTCTGTTATATCTAGAAGGTTGTTCTTGATATACCACGTATAACGTGATCACTAGAACGCCAGAATTCTTCCAAGTCGCAATGCGAAAACAGAAAACTAATGAAAGGAATATTATTCCCAAACAGTGTCAATTATAGTACAAAATTGTCAGGTATTTATAGTTTTTAGTAAGTACGAGCCTCCTACAGCTTCCTCGAGTTCATCCGTGGTCCGTCGTCACACCTCCTTCCTTTAAAGTCTGTCGTGTAAGACTTGTATTTCTTGGAGTAGGGTTTCGAAGAATGTCGTTTATGGGTTCTTTTCCTGCAGCTGTTTTCTTTATGGCCCTTCCGATGACATTTGCTATAACAATGTTCTTTATATGGGCAGAACCTCTTATAATGCCAACCTCCATATGACCAACATGAATATGAGGGCTGATTGTTTGTGTGCGATAATCTTCTTGAGCAGAAATCTTTCTTTCCGCTTACAGCATGAACGTATGGCAACGGGCCATTATTTTCGACCATGGAAGTGTCATGCTTTAGGTTTACCAATCTCTGGCACTCTGTGGTTACTTCTTGTAGTGTTATAATCGGACATTGTTCAATTTTATTTGAAATTCTGGTTCTAATATCAGCATCTTCGGGAGACTGGAGGCTGCACACAAACACGAGACAATTAAACTGGTCTTCTGTCATTGCTGATAGTTTGAAGCGCTCACATTCACGGTTTACTAACCCCGCATGCTTCACCCAGCCATCATCACCTGCTTTTGTCATCTTGAGACATTAATAAGGAATATTAAACAAGGATGGCTGTTCGGCAAAGATATGCGACAAAATTTCAATCGTTGCATCAAAACAAAAATCTCTTGGATTCTTTGGAAGGACAAAGTTAATGTAACGTTCATGTTCACCCGTTCCAAATTTTCGTAAGAGTATTCTGACCTTAGCGGCAGCATCAAGTTTTTTGAGGTCGACCTTGAACAAGTCTTCGTATTTCTTGAACCAGGTTTCAAAAGTAATGCCAGCCGAATCATCGAAATTAAATTCATGGACAGAATTAATGTTGTCATCATGAGATTTGAAGGGATCATCTGTAACCTTTTTTGATCCAGGTTCATTTTCTGGGTTAGCATCTCTATCATGAGAATCTGGAAATGTCCGAAACGTTTTTCTTGATGTTCCAGCAAGGCTTCAAATTGTTCAAAGGTAAATGACATCTTGGTACGATAACCCCGTCGCCAGTTGTTATATCTAGAAGGTTGTTCTTGATGTACTGCGTATAACGTGTGCACTAGAATGCCAGAACCATTCCAAGTCGCAATGAGGAGACAGAAGACTAACGAAAGAAATATTATTTCCAGACAGTGTCTAATTCACTAGTAAGGATTATGAAATATTCAAGAATAAATGAAAATTGTAATAATTACACAAGACATTTACATGATAAAGGTTAAGTCTTTGCATAAACCCATGTAAAATGCCTGTTCATGAGTATGCCAAAAAATTACATTTGAATAGGTCACGTCTACAACAAATTTAATTTTCGCAATGTTGAAGCATCACGTAAAACAAACATTTCGGCAATGGATGTACACTACGCCTTTCATGGAATACAGTTTTGGAGCATACATTACTGTTAAAAATTGAGCTGTCATGCTACTGATGTGCCGTGGATTGTGTTTCTAGTATAACCATACAGACGAAGAAAACCTCTAATATTTACTACTTTCTGGCAATTTGAAACTTCAAAACGAGAGGATTAAGGTGAATAAGACAAACAGAATGTCTCAAAGCTTTAGAAAGCTATAACGAAGAAATCGACATGGTAATATTCAACCATAGTTTTACTATTCGTTTGTAAGCTGGTACTTCACAATGAATGAATCAAGTGATAATACATTTTGAATTAATGTTAACAGGACAATACAATAACAAAAACGTACCAGTTTTTCTTCACTCGTATTTTGATTTTTCCGAAATGAAGAATCTTTAATCTTCGTTGAAGATGTTCTTGAATTGCTTTCAGCTGATATATCTACAGGTTGAGAAGTTTCAGGAATTTGATTTTCGTCAGTTACGAAATCAGATTCGGCAACATTCTTATTCTCGGAATTGATAAGATCTGAATTAACCTGTTCACTACTTTCCCTTTGATTTATAATCGTAGAAGACGATGCACAGTTCAAGGAAACAGAACTGTCTAAATGTTCAGTTGTATTTAAATCTAAATCACTCTGATTTGTTTTTTCAGCAATCAAAGAATCACAGTCATGGATAGGTAGTTCAACCTCTCTACGAAAAGTACCAGGTGATGATTTTATATTATACAAATTGTAATTAACATTAGGTGATAAACCGATAGGTTGATTCATAGTACTATTTGAAGTGGCAGATGTTTTTACTAATGGAGATGCTGTTAAACTACTGGAATCAAAAGATCTATTTGTCGGACTTTCTTGAGATAAAGGTTTGGAAAGTCTACAACATAAATTTAAAAAAGTGAGTCATAAAAGCTAAGAGCAGTAAATGTAATATTACTTATGCATTACACAATTTTAAAAAATTTCGTTGGAAATCAAAAGCAGTAAAAATGACGGTCAAATATCGATGTAGAAACGCTCCAATTTTCTTTAAATGTGGTATATTTTTTAAAAATCAGCAACGTAATTATTTTTAATTTCAGGTTATTTCCAGAAAAGCCTCAATCAATGCACATAATATGTTACGAACACAGTACCTTGTTCAAATAGTGGGTGATTAATGTTAGTATTCCTTTTATTTTACTAACAACTAATGTAAATACTCGGATACAACAGTGCATCGAAAAAATTGACAAATGAACAATTAATATATCATCAAAATTTACAGCTTAATTTTACTAACATTTGGAAACAAAACTCACACTCTGAGCTGTGATTCAATATATTTACTATAATCCAAGTTGGGCACCACTTTATTTCGAAGCAATTTTCGTCGCCACTTTAGAACGGGACAACGAGATCTTGCACAAGCACAATCCAAAGGATAACGACACGCCCGGTAGTCCAAGTCAAAAGGTATGGTTAACTCAGTTCCAGGCATTACTTCAACAGACGTACGAATTACAATTTTAAGTTTATTTTGAACAACGTAATGCTCGAGCTGCAGAATATCAGCAAAAAAATAGTACAGAACATCCAATTACGTAAATATATAGAAAGATGAGATATAAACGCACAAGAAAAGAAACTATACCAAACTATACAAAAACGCTTAAGAAATTCTGAAACGTAACATCATCTAGCAAAAACACACCATATCCATCTACTATAGTGTGTAGCTAAATATTACTTACACCTGTTACCTCTAGTGGAGGACAGGCCGCCAACCAAGATCTTCCAACGAAACTAATATCGGCAATCCCGTCTAGTTGTTTCTAAATGCTATCCATTCTTTTGATTTCTTCCCCAAAATCCACAGTGTAATATATCATTTTGTCTACCTCTTTTTGATTTACCTTCTGAATCCCAAGTTGAAGCATGGATTGAAGTGTATTTCAATTATCTCCGACTCAGTGTGCTTCTTGGTTTCCTTCTTTCCCTTTTCTCTTCAGGATTCTGAGTTAGGGTTAGCCTCATCATTCAATTTGATGATTTTCGTAATATATGGCCTAGTCACTTTCGTCTTTTACAAATTTCCTCTTCAGCAGTAAGTTGGTTTGTTCTCTCCCACGATTGGCTGTTATCGATTGTATTTGGCCAACAGATATTGAGAATCTTGCGTAGACAATTGTTTACTTTGATGATTCTTGTAGTAGTTCTCTTATCTCCAGCTCCGCACAGTAGAACTGTCTTACGTTCGTATTGAAGATTGTGACTTTATTGTTGGTTGACAGTTGTTTTAAGTTCTATATTAACTTCGATTGTGGAAATGCTGCCCAATCCTGGCCTATATATCTACATCAGATCCTGCTTGTTTATCGACGATGCTGTCCAGGTACATGAAAGATTTCACATCTTCCAGAACTTCTCCAACAAATGTGAATGGGTTGGTGCTCTCTGTGTTGTATTTAAGGATCTTGATTTTTTCTTGAGGATGTTGAGGCCTATTGATGCAATAGTTGATGCTATACTCAGTCAGTCAGTTAGAAAGAACGTAGAACTTCGTTAGTACGTACATTAGTTCGAGTCCCCATATCACATTAGTACACAGATACAATTGTCGATTCAAATCCCGTAGTGGTAGAGGTAGTAAAAGTTTAAGCAGTAATCGGAAACATTAGGGTTTTAAGATGTTGTTCAAGGAGTATAATACAGTGTTATAAATTTGGAAAGAGAAAAAAAGGCCATGAAGAATCCAGATTATAATTTCGGATACCACAGAGTGGATACACCTGCACCATTGGAAACAATTTTGAGCCATGTCACTCAAGGTCTTCAACCATCGAGTGCTATCATCTCGCGGTCCCCAACCAGGTAGTCTACACCTACCAACATGACTCAGACCACTTGTCAGTGACTTCATGGATTTGTGACATGTTTTGATCGAGCAGTCGAGGCAGTCGGTGGTTGGGCATACGTAACACGTGTCCCAGCCATCTCAACTGATGAAGTTTCACTACGTCATCAATTGATTTGCCATCCTGACCTAGTGCTCGTTTCCTAACTGTATAACTTACTCAGTTGTCCCAGGATATACGAGCAATGTTTCGGAGACATCTATGACCGAATACTAGTAATCCAGGAATATCCTCTACTCTTACCGGCCATGTTCCACTGCCATAAAGTAGGACGGAACTAACTGCTGCGCAGTAAACCCGTTTTTTGGTTGGTAGAGGGATATCTCGCCTACGCCATAAATGTCAAAAGCTAGTTGAGCCTTCTGTATTTGTCACACACCAGACCTGAAGCAACATTTTGCATTTCGAGGGGGGAATCACATGCCGAACATGCTAGCACTGTTGCTTAGAGTGGTCAGAAGACTCTGCATTTTGTCAGCGTCTTCACCAAATAGAACTGTATCATCGGCATATTCCAAGTCCACAAGTGAATCTCCTGGTAGAAGTTCAACCCTTGGAAATTTAGATGAGGAAAGTGTTATCTCTAAAAGTACGTCTGAACGTGTGTCTGTGTTCTAGGACCTGACGTAGTGTGAATATGTGGTCTATACAACCACGTCCAGGTCCAAAACCAGTCTGGTTTACTGTAGTCTGCTCTTCATGAGCTTTAGTTAGGCGTCGAATTATTATTGAAGCTAATATTTTAGAAACTATATTAGTCAAACTGATTCCTCTGTGATTGTCACAAGAGGATTTTGTCCTTTCTTATAGACTGGCACAATCAGTGATTGAGACCAGTCAGATGGGATTACGTCCAGTTCCCAAACTCTACCTAAGACCTCAGTCAATCTCACTGCTAATACTGAACAACCATCCTTAAAAGTCTCAGGAGTAAACCTGTCAGGGCCTGCTGCTCTCCCTCGCTTCAGATTTCCTATGGCTTTTTCAACTTCGTAAAGAGTCGGAGGACTTATATTAACTTGCCATTCAGGTTGACTAGAGATCGTGGGAAACCGAAGTGTGGCCGAACGCAAGTTGAACTGATCCGTAAAGTGTTCTGCCCATCGATCCAGTCTCCTATTTTGAGAAAGTATATGCCTATTTTTCTCTGAGATTGTTTCACTAACAGTTGGGTTCCTAATACCGGTTTCCTTAACAAGTCTGAACAGTCGTCTGCTGTTACCTATTGCCGCTGCCTTTTCCATCTCTCTTGATTTCGCTACCCAACACTGTTCACGATCATTGCGTGGGCTTCTTGTCAGCTTGTGCTTAAGCTGACTACGCTCTTCGTTATGTTCAGAGCCAGATGGAATGAGTTTTCGAGCATCTATCAGTGCGACAGAGACTGCTGAGATCCAGTGTTGCTCCATAACCTTATGGTTTACCTTGCTAGCAGATATCACTGCTGTTTCCACAGCTTTCCGGATATCATTCCACGCTGCATCGGGGTGGCCATCACATACATGGCTGCCTAACTGTTTTCCTAGTTGTTCCTGAAATATACTCTTAGCTTGACTATCAATAAGTAGAACCCTAAGAAGTTTCCTTGCAGCGTCTTCACTACGTCCAGTAAGACGCAAACAAATACGCGTTCGCACTAGAGCATGATACGAATCTAAGCATGTGCTCCAGAATGAGCGACAGTTTTCTATCGAGCCCCTCCATCAGTGGCTGATAGCGATGTGATCTATTTGGGTCCAACGTTGGTATGAATTAGGGGGTCTCCATGTTAAAAGATGTTTTTCCTTATGCTTAAAGTTAGTATTTACAAGAAACAGGCGGTTGTCTGAGCATAGCTGCAACAGACGGTCGCCATTATCTGTTCTTTGAGCCGCGACACCATAAGATCCACCTAGTTGTCTTTTCCTTTCGTTTAGTTTACCTACTTGAGCATTAAAGTCACCAGCCACTATTACTACATCAGAGCGCCTAGCTTTTCGGAGAAGGTCCTAAAGCTTCCTGTAAAACTCATCTTTTGCATCATCTGAGCTGCAGTCAGTGGGAGAATAGGCAGAGACGACGAAGAGGCAACGACGAGTGTCCCTATCTTTCCGAGTCATTATTGTTCCGTTTAGTCGGACAGCGCACAAACGACTGTCTACTGGGACCTAGTCTAAGAGAGCTAGTTCTGCTCTAGGACTCAATGCTATACCTACGCCGGCGAGGCCACGTGAAGCAGCATCAGGGTTTCTAGATACACGAAGTGTGAATCGAGTTGGTTCGTCACTTTGACATAGTGATGTCAAATGAATGACGCTACTCGATCCTGTATGCGCGTTTCGGAGACGCAGCACACATCGATGGCGCGAGATTCTAAAGTTCTAGCTAAGGAAGCTTGTTGTCCTATTTGGCACAGTGTTCGGACGTTAAAAGCTCATACGTGTAGTTTAAAGCGTGGTTTCAGTAGACCAGGAGTAACGTTCCGCGTACTTAAATCGTTTGCCTTAGCGGTGTGAGGTGATAAAGAGAGGCGAGAAGGGTTAGTCGTGGAGATAAGAGAGGTATTAATTGTAGGAAGGATTTGAGTGTGACCAACTTGATCTCGTGTGCTATTACGGGTATGAGGGCTGATATCACTTCCCGGTTGCCCACACCGTGGAAGGGTATTTCTTGAGGAACCTAAAAACGAAGTTGGATTAATGTTGGTCTGCGTGACTGCAGAGCCCAAGGGACAACTGCTTGAGGCCGGTAGCGCACGGCCTATTCGTGAGAGGTTTTTAATCTGTTATCTCCGTTCTTCAAAGGGCTTTACCGCCGGAGACGGAAATCCGTGAGGTAAGGTGAGGTGTGACATTTTTAGGATCAACCTTTTGTAACCCCTTCTTTCCTTGTGAGAAGGCAGCATCTCTGCAGATGCTGGTTGTCTAAGGGAAACACCTTACTGCTGTCACACTTTCCTACGGTCAGTAGTACGACTTCGCCCGCAGATCCTGAGTTGCTGCTTTCAGGCTCACCGTTCTTCAATCGACCTGCCTGGTATGGTAGAGCTTACAGGAACATATGTTCCTGCCAAAATAGCTCGATTGAGTGATCACGTTAGGCAAGCCTGACCACCGCGTTAAGGTAGAAGCTACGGTCACGAGCTGCTATATTATTTGTCTTTATCTGCATTTTTTGCTGTGTATGGGATGGAAAAGCGGGGTCATCTGCGAAGTTCAAATCGTCTCGTTGCATCCAATCTGTACAATGTACTCCGTGCTTCCATTCAAATGTGGAAGTCTTTATAATCCATTCGACCATCTGAAGAATGCGAAAGAGAGAGGGCAAGCAGTCTTGTCTGACACCAGAATTCACTAGGACTGCATCTGTAGGCTGTTCTCCATACATGAATTTGCAGTGTAGTAAATCGTATGATATTGACGGTCTTGCCAGCTACGCGATAGTGTTGAATACGATTGCGTAACGTCTTTCTCCTATCCATACCATTAAACGCCTTCTCATAGTTAATACATAATAACGGTTTTCAATAAATTGATTGTTCAAAAATGACCTGTGGTGTGATTTGGTGTGTGTAACACCGATCCTTACGGCATCGAACCTGTTGATCTCGATGTTGGGTGGCTATTGAATCTTTTACCGGTTCAGAAGCACTCTGTTGATTACGTCTCCTGGTATCGATGGCAGTGTAATGCCTCTGCAGTTCTCACACTTGCTCAGATATCATTTCTTGACGAAATATCCTACATTCTAGTCTGTCGGCACTTATTCCTCCTTCCTGAATAGAACGTTGAGCGTGTTCACAGTCAGTGTTATGTCCAACTCCAGTGCTTCAGCTGGTATGTTGTCTGTTCTTTCTACATGGCACTCTCGATTTGTCTGCTGATTTCCTCGATCGTTGGAGGAGTAACATTTATAGGAAGGTCTGTGTGTGTTGCTTAGAAATTTGGTGGGTTCAGTAGGGTTGTCTATTCAAGAGTTACTCAAATTGTTTTGCGCATCTGTCCCGCAATTCTTAATTTGCCCTCTTTGCCTCTGATTTACAATATTTCCTTGCTAGTTATCTCATATTTCCTTCTCAGCAACCTTTTCCGCTGTCTTCCACGTATTTCTATTTGTCAGCTCTAATGCTACTTTTCACTCTTGTTTGCTTCTGTGTATTCGATCTAGGCCTTGACTCTCTCTTCTCTTTTCCGACTGTTAATAATTGTTGTTTTCCACCTTTCTTGAGTCCTGTCTAGGGTATCGATAGAAATTCATTCTTTATGACAGTTCTTCTTGACATGTTGAAGTTAGTGCTTCTTTGCTTTCGTTCGAGTTATCCTCCAAAGTAGTTCCCTTCCCTTCGAGTAGATCTTAAAATGCTTAGGACCTTTTATACAGAGCTATCTTGCGTTCGCTAAGTTTGACAGTATCTCTAGGGAAGGCTGTATGAAACCTTTGTAGTGTTGTTTCTTCATTTTTTAGTGCTTCTTTAGCTTCAGTTTGGTCGTGGCAACTACTAGGAGGTGATCCGAAGCTGTGTCAGTATCTCACTTTGTCCTCACGTCTTCCATTGTCTTTCTGAATTACTTAGTGATACAGATATGATCGATCGAATTTTCTGTGGTGTGATCAGGTGAGATTCATATACCTTTGTGTATGTGTTTTTGAAGGAATATGAGTTTGCAAATCTCTCACCATTCTCTTTTATTTCTTCCAGTTCATGTCGTCCCATGATATCTTCGCACCCGGTGTTATCCATTCCGACCTTGACGTTTAGGTCACCCATCAGGATGATCAGGTCTTTTTGTTGACACTTCCCAACGATCGACTGCAGCCCTTCATAAAACTGATATTTATCGTCCTCATTGCTGTCATTGGTGGGTGCATAGCACTAGACAGCATTCATCGTGATACCGAAATTCTTGATTTTGAAGAATGCTAAATATTATCAATAGTCTAAACACAATGCTCTTGACTCCAGGTTAACAAACGGAATCACACTGATTGCTGATCTATAAGGATTGAATAAGTGCCGTTTGATTAGTCTTTCTAAATAATAAACGACCTGTTTCGAAATTCGCAAATTAGGTGATACACAGATTTTTGTAAACAATAAATATGGTTAAAAAACCTTGATTCAAACCTACTCTACAATTTGGAATACATGAACGTCGAACAAATCGTGCACTATTTCCATATTGACTAGAGTCAATGACAATCGTCCGATCGCCAAACCCACGATAAAACATAACGTAACGATTATAGCTGTTAAAAGAGATAAAGAAATTTATGTGTTATTACAGTTTTTAAATCTTCCCTTTACCATACAACAGTGGATGAACGACAATCAATCAACTAGATTAACTTTTTAACTAAACGAATTAAATATTATATATATATATATATATATATATATATATGACTGAAAACTAAAAAAAATGCGAAGAGAAGCAAAACATATATAATATGAGAAAATATGTGTGGCACTAATAATAAGAATTAAAAATTAGAAAAGAATTTCTATGATATACTTACTCGGAAACAGGATCTACATAGTGTTCATATTCTTCCATCAGTAAGAAATGACCTCGAACTTCAGTCACAACTTCATTCGGTGCTAATCTGATTGATGCTTCTAAGCCCTGTTGACAGAATAACAATCAGTTAATGTCCAATGCTTAAGTGTAGAATATATAAATGCTAATTGGTAGAAGTAAAATAACGGGAGCAAAAGTAAACAATCTGAAGCCTTTGGGGTAATTTCATTTATCTACAACGAATACATGGGGTTTGAGCAAAATATGCCAACGTGGTTGCATTATGAAATAAAATGCTTAAAGAAACATACGCGTGACCTAATATATTAAGTGTTTGGAAGCAACTGATATCTGTGAAAACGCTTATTGAAAGAAATTAATAACATTGATTTTTATGCGAATGCTATTATTTATTTACTAAGGAAAAGGAAGACAGAAGTTTATGAGAGGAACACTACCAGTTATTTTGAGCTCACGATTTATATAAAATATTTTAATCAATACAGTCGAATAGGATTTAGTATCACACTGAAGGTGTTGTGATCTTTAACACTATTAACAAAAATAGTGAACCGAACTAAATTGGACCAATATAGAAAACCTGGAAGTAATGAAGGGTTTATATAATGATCCTAGTTAAATAAAAGGAATTCACACAAGCTTTTGTTATATTTTACTGAAATGACATCTGACGAATTAAACAGGATACCAAGCCGTTTAGTCTTATTCCACGAATAATCAAAACATTGGAATACTAAACGCTTGAAACTAATTAACTGACCGTTTTTTGACTGTCATTAAAACTACTATGGTCATTTTTTTCTCCTACCGATAAGTTTTGAGAGTATGACCATAAATACTACGAAAATAGTGATTGGTTCAAGGGTTTTCGGAATATGTGCTCAACATGGGCTTACGTTAATACTACTTTTCGCTTAAATATCTAAAGATATAGTATATATAGTATATATATAAACAATAAGAAACGATTACATCACTTTTGGAATTATTAGTTGATTAGTCAGCAGACTTGAGAAATGGAAAGTTGTGAAGAAAATTGCTCATTATTCGTCTTTCTAGGCTACTCAGATACTCGAAACATAAATATCTTACGCCCATAGATTTTTCGCCTCTAATGTGTGCCTTGCTGGAGTGATAACCTTTAGTTTATTTTTATATAGTAGCTGTCAATCCTGAAGGTTCTCTTTGTTCATACAATGGATTTCACAAAATTGTCCAACTGCAGCAGGTTAACATTTATTGATGCATCATAACTATATCCTCGTAATCTTAGAGAATTCTCATTTTTCGATTATTTGTCGCTTACTTGAAGACACATAGGTAAAAAAAGTAGATAACATTTCTAGTGTGTTTTAAGTTTCATCAGTTGTTGACCATTTATATAATCATTTACCTTTTCCCATTTGGCTTTTAAAACGATGTGACAACTTATATATAATCCAAAAGAAAAAAGTAATCATAAGACGACGAAACTAGAGGCCTGTTTAACATAGATTGGAAACACATCACTACTACTATTATTTGTGTGGCAGAAGTACCACAAAATACACAGGTCAACAGATCCATCATCAATCAGTTAAATATTTTAAATTTAATAAAGGCAATGACGTAAATACGACCAAAACTGAATTATATTTTTTATTATTATTATTATTATTATTATTATTATCGGCTTTATTCAATATTATATTTTTGGTACAATATAGAATTCTCAGCGCAAAGCATTTCAACAAGTTTCCGTTTCTTTCTTCTTGGTCGGTCCTGGCGATAAATATTGAGTGATCGCCAGTTAGATGTTAGCAGTTCACTAAATGAGCATCTGAATAATGTACATCCTTTTCGTTGTATATTGCCAGCAACCACATTGTCTCTTATTGAGTTTTTTGTAACTTTGACAACGAAAGGTTGTACACTTTTCAGAAACGCAGCAGAATAGGTTATGCGATCAATAAACATAATGATATATTAAAACAAACAAAAGTAGATAACTTGTTGAAATATCTAAATGGCAGGAACAGATGGCCCAGATGCTCGAGCAGGCCGCCCTTTATGAATTGAGAGAACATATTACTCATCAACATTGCAGATTAATCAGTTAGAACAAACTAGAAAGTGTTTACAAAGTGAACACAAACCATCTTGCGTATGTTTCAGTATGAATTTGTTGAGAAATATAATCATATTGTGTAGTAAATTACCTTATCATTATGATCAAAAAGGACAACTCGACAAAGCGAACTCCGAGTTAAGCATGCCGGGGGGATTTTATGATTTCGCTCGACGCTAGCAGATCTACAAGTTGAAAATCAGAACTGATACAGTTTAAACTGGTCAATAATTTTTTATTCTTAATACCAAAAGAAACGACAAACATTTTACAAATAAAAGATATAACATTTAAGGTGGGAAAGTTTATTGAAGATAAGGTTTCAAGTACACTACGATCAAATACAGATTCGTGTAATATGACCCTGGAATCACACTTTAGCATGAAGGTTAGTGAGATTCTGTTGGTTGAATTTAAGTAGGACTATGGTATAGTCAAACCATACTTAACCTAACCTTCAGTTTTAATTTAATAGGTATTCAAAAATTCAGAAACGATATTATTACTAAAACAAAAAATAGAATTACGTAGGATTTGATACGTAAGGTTTAGTTAACTTAATAAAAAAGAACCATGATGAAAATATAAATAAATGTTGACTATACAAATTTAACTCAATAAACATGGCGATACAATGTGAGTCGAATTTATGTGGATATTAAAGTATGTTTTATATCCTGTTAACTAACTCATTGACACGTTCGTGCACTGTGACAAAACTTTCATTAGTTTGAATTCAATACCATGGATGATAATAATTTATATTCTTTTATCCCCTACCGCTAATTAAAGTAAGAACACCCGTTTTGTGGATGAGTTATTTTTGATGTTCGCTAAGTGTAACCAATGAAAAAAACATCAAGTCTGCTAATTGTATTATCAATAAATAGTGATTAGAATATTTAAAATGAGTGATTGACGCAATATATTGTGAAAATGCATTGAAACGCCGTGAATTGTTCACACTGAATAACTTACTGTAGTAGTATTTGAACGTGAACGATATTAATTTGCTTTTATTAAGTTGTAATTTGAGGTTGCATATCCCCAAAATTTATAGAGAGCGTCAGATGAAAGGTTAAAAGATCCTCAGGAAACTTAGCAATAGCAATCAAACTGAATATCAGTAACTAAAAAACAAGCTAAACTATTCGATTTTGAACTAAAAATTTGGATTAACTCTGTGATATTGTTTGGTTGCCCAAACGGAAGAGAAATTCGCATCTATAATTCAGGTGCTTTAATAAATAAAACCCCCATTGAAAGTGGTACATGGGGTTTCAAGATTAAACATTTAAAAACAATTAACATTTGAAATCTGAGAACCATGATATATTATTTTTATTTATTTATTTCAACACATAAATATTGGTACGAGAGGGCATCAAATATATATGCACCACACCATATTTGTGTGTGTGGGCTGTGATACTGCCCGGGTGCCCAGACTGAAGCAGGTGGTTTTATTAGGGGGCCACACCCCGAAGCTTTGACCCTTAAGGCAGTGGAGCATCGTGAGGAGATGCATTCCCATGGTAGCCGGTGACCAACGATTGGTTCATACGCAATTTGTTCCCTTCAGGATACTGGAGCCCATGTGCACCATTGGTTTGGGACCCGGTTAAAGGGCTGGACATTCGGTTTTCGTCCTCTCATTTTCGTAAAAGACACCCCCGCCACGAGAAGGCAGTGAGTAGGACTTCCCTGGCAGAGGCTATATACACGTGGCCATGTGAGAGCATTTCGAGAGGGAGTGCGGAGTCTTCCCACTCTCGGCCGTACCAGGGCATTTGGAGGGGCGCTGTGTGCTTAGTGAGTTACTCAGTTCGGAAACTGTAATCATTGTAATCGATCAACTTAAAAGTATTCTTAATGTTATTAAAAACATCATCAACAGAGCTCCCATCATATTGATTGATCCTGGGATATCGTCACCTTAGAATTGAAGTTGAATAAAAATAGGCTTTTTATTTGCTGTAATTTCTTTGGGTTTTTTATCTTCACGTTTGCCACATTTCTCAATAAATTTCAGTGGGTATCCGTTATTCCTTAAACATTTTTTAACATTCATAACTTCCTCTTCTAGTGCACCGTATGTACATATTCTTTCTGTTCTGTGAAACAGTGTTTTGACCAGTGCCTTTTTGTAACTGATTGGACAAAAGCTATTGAAATTGAGATAACTACCATTCCATATGTCTTTCTTATAAACTGCACTAACAAGAACTTATCCTGCAGCGAAATTGATTGTCCTGTCCAAAACAACATGTTCTTAAACACAATCAAAGGTCGACAGGTATCCGTTTCATGTTACCACCAACTGTGTATACAAATTTACATGTATCTGCCAAAGCAGTTACGTTGGTAGACCAGAAAGGAGAACCTACGTCCGATTCAAAGAACATATTCCGAAAAGTTTAAGATTAAATGGATTGAACGCATTCAACAGTGCCATCGCAAGACATCTCCTTGATACAGGATATGAAGTTGATATACTGAAGTCCTTCAAGGGGATTAACAAACAATCAAACTCCAACCTTTTGAAATTTGCTGAAGCAATAGCAATCAAACGTTTAAAACCAGATCTATGCATACAAAAAGAGACAGTAATAAATCTTTCTTTACCCTGGTAACAATAACCCCTTTTATTCATTTATTTCTCTATTTATTTATTGCGTCATTAATCCAACTCTTTTAAATTACATCATACATAAATGATTGATTTCAATCCATATTTTCTTTATTACCATTAATCTATTTTCATGAGTTCTAATCACTATTTCAATGTTCTGGAACTTTCCCTCTCTAACTTTATTTATTTGAATCAAACATTTTATGAGCTCATTAAATCTATCTGAATCTTCACTACAACATCATACACATGTATTGATCCTTAATCACACTCTTATGTATAAATATGTCAATATCTGCAATAATTTGAATTTTCAAATAATTTAGGTTGTAAGCAGCTGATGAGAACCTAACGAAATAAAATGAATTCATATTATTCTGCACCAATATCTGTTCTTCCTCTCTGTAAGTACATATTTATTTACCCAAACTTCAGACAAACTGCTTGTGTGCGAACTAGTGAAATTACTCGGCTCCCTAAGTAGAGGTTTATGTAGCACCATTCAGATTTGCAGCAAATAAGTTGGAAGCTGACAGTTTTAACAACCAAGGGAATGTTCTACTGGCTAAGAACCACCACTAGGCCTCATCAGATATTCTTAGTAATTATCTACAAAGCAAGATATACTAGTACCCAAGAGAATGGGAATAGATAACATATGCACATAGTAGCATCAGCGATTGATCAATTCGAACCTAACTTCAGAATCCAAAATTTAATCGCAAATATTATTCTGTCCTCAGCCCTCTCTAATTCTACTCGGTCAGTCATCTACAACGTAAGACCACATAAAATTATGCATCAGTCCATATTGCCATACCTTATTAGTACAACAAAATGAACACCGAATTCAGAGAATCAGTTACTTCAATAGTAGAAAAATATCTAAAAAACATTCCATATAAACATAAAATACAGGGAAAAAGAATTAGTTCGTATAAAGAAGGGTATAAAGTAATTTGAGGGAAGACAAAGAGTGCATGAACCTACACCATTGTGATTGACTCTGAGCCATGTCACCCAAAGTCTCCCACAACTAGCTACGACAGTCGCGTGCACCACAACCAAGTAGTTTACATCTACCGACATGGCTCACACTGGAAGTTAATGACTTTATGGACGCCAAATTTTCGTTTGGCAACCCTAACGTTCTTCCAGCCGTCTCCAAAACTAGTCAGCATTGCTCACCGTGGTAGTCGGTGATTAGGCATGTGTAATACGTAGCCTAACCATCTCAGTTGATGTAGATTCACAACCTCATCAACGAATTTACCATCATTTCCTAATACCATGCGTCTAACCTCATTATTACTTACCCGGTGATCCCAGCAGATGCAAGCTATATTTCTAAGACATCTGTGATCAAAACTAGTAGCTTACGAGTATCTTCTACTCTTAATGGACACGTTTCGTAGCCGTAAAGTAAAACAGAACGAACTGCCGCGCAGTATACTCGTCCTTTAGTTGATAGACGGATACCTCGCCTTCTCCATTGGTGATGTAAGTTGACAAAAACCAAACGAGCTTTCTGAAACCATGAAGAGGCTTTGTCACACACCACACCATTAGTGCTGATCAGACTTCCAAGATAAGTGGAGTTTTCGGTGTGGTCGACTACTCCACTCCCTATCCTTAGTTCAGGTGTTGACGCAAGCCAGTTTTGAAGCAACAATCTGCATTTAGGGAAGGAGAAACGCATCACAAACTTCTTGGCATTGTTGCTCAGTGCTACCAAAACACTGTGTCTTCGCCAAACAAAACTATGTCATCTGCGTGTTCCATAAGATCTGAGTTGACTGATAGTGTTTGAGTAAAGAGCCTTCACAAGTTTTATGTACTTCTGAGATACGCCTCTCAACGACAGACAGACACAGACACAGAACATCTTGATCTACAGAATCAAATGCTGCTTTCAAGTCCAGAAAAACCATCTTTTTCAGACGCTGATAAGCAAACCTGTGTTTTAGGATCTGAAGAATGGCGAACATGTGATCGGTGCAGCTACGATCGAATTCGAAGCCAGCCTAATTTTCTCGTATATTCAGTTCATGAGTCTTTGTTAGACACCCGATAATTATTGAGGCCAGTATTTCAGACGCTATATTAGTCAAACTAATCCCTCCATGGTTATCACATGATGATCTTGATCCCTTCTTATGTTTTGGGACAAACAGTGTTTGCGACCAGTCTGATGGGATCACATCTAGTCCTCAGATTTTAGCTGAAATATTAGTCAGCCTAGTCGCTAAAACTGGACCACTCTCTCTTGAGACCTATGGAACCAATCCATTTAGACTCACTGCTCTTCCGCGTTTCAGATTAGCTGTAGCCTTTTGAACTTCAGGTAGAGTCGGGGTACCTACTTCAATGTTCCATTCAGGCTATCTGGGAATGGTGGGTAATTGTAGAGTAGCTGAAGGCCAGCTAAACTGTTCTTTATAGTGCTTCGACCATCGTTCTAAACGTCCGGACTAGGTGAGAGCAGATGAGAGTGTCGTCTTTTTCCGAGATAGTCTCACTTACACCGGACTTCTAAATTCCGGTTTCTTTTATTAGTCCGAAAAGCTGTCCTATGTTACCTACAGCCGTTATTTTTTCCATCTCTTTTGCTCTCGTTGCCCACCACTAGTCAAGATCGTTCCGTAGGCTTTTAATTAACCTAGATCTGATTTGTTTTCGCTGTTCATCATGTTCAGACCCTTATGGGATGAGTTTACGAGAGTCTGTCAGTGCAATAGATGTCGCGGAAATCCACTGGTTTATCGTAACCCTTTAGTTCAAATCACCAATAGATATCGCTGTCGTTTTCACGGCTGTCCCTAAATCTTTCCGAGCAACACCTGGTTCAGCCTCGTTGTCGGAATTGCCTAAGTGTGACTTCCGTTGTTTCTGGAATTTGCTTTTGCCCTACCCATCGCTGAAATCAATTCTAGTGGATTTACTCAATATGGTCTTTCTATATCCAATGGGGTGCCAGCAAATGCGTACTTGTTTTAGAACATAGTCGGAATCTAAACATGTACTCCGGAACAAGCCAGTCTTCTGAGTCATTGTTAACTGTTTGTCTCTTCTGAAAATTCTTTATCTTCATCAAGTCGACATTTATCATCCATAATTCTTATATATGATTTACTGCTTCTCATTACCATTTGAATAATCACAATGTAAAAATTTCGATAACTAAATTCTTTAAATGTCTGTTATTCAGAAGTTGAATTCATGAGTCAGTTGAAGCTAAACCACCATGGAAAACCTGGGTGCATTGAACGGCTGGTTCGTCCCAGTAGGGGACTCCTCGGAACGGCGCATCCGCGATGCTACTTGCTGGACTCGAATACAGGATCTATTGATCTCGCGCAAAGGCCTAACATTTAGACCACTCTGTAATTGATGAAATACTATTATTTCTTGAATAACTATAAAAACACGAATAAACAACTTTAATCAATGAAATAATATACATATTAGAGATCCAAAAAATCATTATTAGGCTTACTTTACTCTAAACACTGATCGATCAATTACTGCACAACCGGTGTACCGGACATATTGAGTTTTAAAATCTACAGATATTGAATAACCTACTTAAAACCCTTATCATAAAAGAGTGTATTTTTAAATGATCTTCATGTTTTTCGTTCGTATTTTTTTAAAAGTAAAGTGTTACTTACCAAAACATAATACACGTTTCGTTTGTCGTTTGTTTACTAGCCGATTTAAGCTCATTTGGAAACTGTGTACCTAATTCACTCTTCATGAGCAACCATCAATATGCTTCTTAAAGAAAAACTGTGCTACAGCAACTTTGGTAGGCATGTTAACCGTTTTAAAACAATGTAGAGACTCTAGATCACGTTATTACCTTTTCATATCAGGTCATTATTCCATACTCCAGCCCAGACAAATATTACAAAATGTTTCCAAGCGCACAGTAGACAACATCAATTATTTTCAATATTGTATATAAGCGTGGTATTATTATATATAAATTGATGAAAGGTACATGATTTTTAATTATTATTTGGATGATTTCAGTCATTGATATTGATGAAAATGTTTAAATCAATCAAATCCCACAAAGTCTTTTACTGAAAGAATTTATATGGGTTACATGGGACCAAATTTTATGTACATGTCAAATATGAGGTTTGTTTTATCATTATACCGACTAACTGAGAACAACAAACAAATGACTGAACTAAAGTCCCGTAAAACTAGGAAGTTAACGAACATAACCAGTACCATTTTATGACTGTTGGTTAAGTAACAACAATATACTTACATTCTACTCTGTATACGTTCGAGCAGAGCTTTCGTATAAACATTATTTTCAGCTTCCTGATAGTCCTTAGCCCAAGCTGCACCAAGAGGATTAGTTCGAGCGTCAAAACGACGCTTCGTTGAATTGGAGCCATCGGAAAACAGAACTCTTCTACAGATAAAAAGAAATCGAATACAATAAACAAAAGAACAAACAACACAAAAACTATTGAACAAGACCATAGAAATCTATATTGATGGACTGAATCTTCACGTAAATGTGGCATTATTACTATTTTGTTGCTAGAGTCAATCAGTAACCAATTTAGAATAAAACAATACGATGTTGACTATTACTCAGTGGTCAAACGGTGTTATTAGTTTATCTTATTTCATTACACTTCGATTAGATTTAGTATTTTTTCACACTTGTTTTCTCAGAAATAAAACTGAATGATTACTTCTTGTTCGAAATACTGAAACGGCAAACTATTTTGGCAAATAAGCAAAGATGGATAGTGGCTAGCAGTGGAATCCAGGACGCGTTTCGTCCCATTTGGGACTCATCAGCTGGATATACCTGCATCTCAGAGTTGGTGTTCACACTGGGACTCGAAACCATTACCACTCGCTTCAAACGCCATCGCGATATTCACTCAGCTGCTGATGGCGTTTGAAGCGAGTGGTAATGGTTTCGAGTCCCAGTGTGAACACCAACTCTGAGATGCAGGTACATCCAGCTGATGAGTCCCAAATGGGACGAAACGCGCGTCCTGGATTCCACTGCTAGCCACTATCCATCTTTGCTTATAAAGCTTCTGAATTAAGACATTATCGAGGCAATACACACAGTATGTACATATGCCAATAACAGACTGATCAATTGCAGTCTTAACACTCAATGGGGTGATTCAAGCAAAACAATACCAAGAGTATTTTGGCAAATATTTACTTTTTGGTGATTTCAGAAATCATGAGACAAATATTTTAAGGACTTGATATTTAAAATCAGATTAACAACTGATTTCACATTTAAGGTCAACATAACTACCGTGCCATGTTGTAGCATGGACATTATCATACACATTCTTATCAATCAGTAATCATACTTTAGATGCTTCCAATAAGCTGGCAAGTGATTCCTACCATTAATGGATAATAAACGTGTAAATACATAAAATAAATGATGAAAAAAATGATTACCCTTATTCTACATTTCAGTGATATACATCAAAAAAATGTTTATCTACTATGCAATAAATATTCAGTATTACTCAGACTACTTCAATGTGTGGGAGCGTAATATCCCAGAATGAAGAATTATTAAGAACATTTGATATTGTTATAAACCCATACATTGGTCAGAGTACAACACAGGTGTAATCAGAAAAATGACCTGTTCAATTCAACATTTCTTTTAGTAATTAAACATGAATATTATGCAAAACGTTAGTGTTCGGATTTCAAATAGTTACAGAAATGATAGTGAAACAGCATTAAAAAAACTTCCTGAGCGTTTCAAACATTAAAACTTATAGCAGATGTAGAGACTAAAACTGATGAATTTCACTTTCAACAGAAAACTTCCTTCAATTTACTGAAAAAATAGAGTAAATAAATGCAGTATGAGTTACCTGACTTTATTAGTTGAACGATCAATACCTAGTCTGTGACGACGTGGACTGCCTTCTACACCTGAAGAACTACTGTATCCAGAACCAGGTGTAAGCGTGCCACCAGGTGTACTTGTGGGAGTGACAGGAGTGAGTGGTAAAGTCCCTGGTTTCATTGGAGTATTTGACGGTGTGCTCGAAGGTGTTACATCTACAGAAGATGACTCATCACCACTATTTGGTAAAATAACGGTAGTGTTGGAATTTTGTTCAGAAGACGAATCGGCTGTGGCAACTTCTGTGTCATTATCTGGAAAAGTAAGCATGAATAAGAGGAACTAATTTAATAGGACCAAAGTTCTTCTCAATGGAACAAATTGAGGTGATCCCTTGAAAACGGAGAAATGTTTCGAGGAACAACTCGTAAACTACACTAAACAAACGATATTATTTATTTATTTTAACACATAGATATTGGTACAAGGAGGCACCAAATACATATGCGCCACACAAATCTCATTTGATGTGTGAGGGCTGTGATACTGCCCGGGTGCCCAAATCGAAGCGATTAGGGATTACATGCATATTCAAAACAAGCGAAGACTGCTTTCAAAATCCTAAAAAAACGAACACAGGTTTAGAAAGATAAGTTAAAGAACAACATGTCATGTATTATGAGAGGAATAACGAATTATGCAGAAATATGAAACAAATAAATATAAAATAATGCTACTAAAATATGTGTGGTCAAACATCGTCTACACAGTTTCAACTAACGCGGAATAAAGGCTTTGTGGAGACATGTATACGGGAAATAGAGACAACGATACAGATAGTACTAAATTACAACATTAACAAGACAACAAATCAAAGAGAGGGAAATCACTTACACGATGTAGAAGTTAGGTCTTGCTTCCGCTTAGATGCTCTTGGAGGAGATGGCATTCTCAAATTGACATCTGTATCACCATGATGCCTGCGACCAGAACGAGAAATTTCGTTCTATGTAGAAAAATACAGAATTGTCTCACGAGTAATGAAAACTTCAACGGAAAATGAAAGTTCACGCTTAAAGAAACATGTTTTTTACATACCAAATATATAATCTCCAAGAAAGCACCGAATGTATGTAATTTATTAAAAATCAGAAAGTAGTAATACTAAATAACAAAATATACATGAATGAGATGATGTAATTTAAGGGGTACAGACTTATATACCCAGGGCCTTTGAGCTAAATACTACTTATGAGAGTCAGCCAAAATGTAATTAAGTGAAGCAGGACTTTGAGCCTGTGACCTAGTGGTTAAAAGTTGAACGTCTCGGCAACTACTGTCACCGCTCCACAGAACAATAACAGGGTGCAGTGTATACACATAGCATACAACCGAAAAACCAAACATACTGAATTTACAGAATTTTAGAATGTTTATATGTGATTGAAATTCCGAAATTCTACACTAGTAATCAGAAAATATTGCTATCAAAATTATTCGCCTATTTTTTTGCACATAATATATGATCACACTACGGTTGAGTAGCAGTAGGGTATATCAGTTTCAAAACCAAACCCATAGTGAAAATTTGGTCAATAACATACACAGATACTAAATGTCTAGTTTTCTATAATTTTTGTTTCAAAACAGTACTTGGGCTTCGGCTGATCATCGAAACTAATATCTTGTACTGTATTAGTCAGAACTTTTTCTCTGTAGTTACTACAAAAGAATTTGTCTTATCTTAAAACTAAGACGACAGACTATCGAGATATGTCAGATAAAACTGCGTCCAACTACTAGGTTTAATCAAAGATTTTCATTCATCTAACTGACAGCATTCGACCACCATTGCTAAAAGTAATTAGAGTTAAACACCAGAATATGTCACCTGCTTAAAGTTAAATGAGGCTATTATTGACTAAGTTGATGTTAATGAACATTAGATTTTATGAAGAACTTACATGTTAACGTAAGTTACAAACTGAAAAGACAAATACTACCATAAACTAAAATAACAGGAATATGTGATTTCAGTGTTTTTCTCCAAGTTCTAGAAACCCTACAAAAACAAGACTTTAAACAGTTTATCAGTTTTCCTAATAAGATTTTATATTAACCATTCGACATTTTTAATTTTGTTTCCTTATCATTTAAATTGTTCCTAGCCTCACCAATTTTTCCCAATTCACGGATGACCAACCAGAACGTCCAGTAGTATCATGTTCTTTTACAACAGAGTGACCAGACCAAGACCCAGAAAACGTAGAACCATCAGCATCCAGTTTGCAGTTATTCGACAAAAGACCCAATCTTTTCGCTCTATCAGCAGCAACTTCTACATACTGAGCTCCAATGTTCCCATCAGAAGATTGAGTCAATTTTATTGACGAATTATTAGCAGCATCAATAAAATTCGTAGTATCATCATTTAGAGCAACACAATCCTTGTTTGCATTGGCATTTGTTGTTGTGTCCGATGATTGGTTAGATGTACCTTGAAATTCAGTATTTTCATTTCCACATACATTGCAGGTATATCCATCACTCAATCGAGGCATAGTAACATTGTAATATGACTCCATACACTGTACATGTTGACAAGTACTAAAGTGAAACATTCAATAAAAAAGATAAAAATAACACAAACGAAACTCTTCAATCAAATGAAAAACATTAAACAATTGGCTTGTAAATTACTGGATGTTTATCACATCAATTTTGCTTGATTATAAATCGATAGCTAATTATTTACATAAAGTGAAGAGGAAATGAAATAGACAAATTTGTTATTGTAGCACAGCCAAAACAGATTACTGTTTGATAATACGATGCTAAATTGCATACTAAGATAGCTTAAAAGTAAAATGATAAATAAGTGCTTATTGAAACTAATTACTGAAATCAAGAGCAATTTTGCGTCACACATTTCGATATGTAAATAGTGGGTGCACTAGTTTAAGCCGGGAAACTTGCTTTTCATTAATACGTTTCTTTTTATCATATGAACGACATATTTTACGATGACTTGTACAAATTGTATCAAGACAGATATACTACATTGTGTCGATTAAATCATTAACACTTGATTCGACGACGTGCGAAAACTTTTATGTTGTTTGAATAGATAATACATCAATAGTATTCATTTAATGTAAAAGTTTTATAAACTATTATTAGGAAACTAGATTTTCCAGACCACACAATATTAACTGAGATGAAAGTTTTACAACCGTGATGCTATTCAGGGAACATTCAAAATGTTTAGTAATCGCAAAAATAATTTTATTTATCACTTTATGTGATACATTTGATCAAACTTGAACAATTTCTCTAAGATTTATCCGCATATTACCAACCAGCAGAGGAATACTAACAAGATATCCAGATCAATTTACGCTTCACAAACTACTGGACAACTTCAAAATATAGAAGGCACCTGAACAAATGCTATTCTAATAAACGTGAATTTTAACAAAGGAAAAAATTTAAAAAAAACTACAGAATACCGAACAAAATGAACTTCAAAGTTAACGTTTTAGGTTAGTTAGACCACGTCACTAGAATGTCGGTAAAACAAAATAGTAAAACAGTAAGCTTCAAATAACGCATATTTATTTCAGTATTTTGTCAACGTCACTCATTTGACCAACTACAGGTTAAAATAACCAATGGCTGAAAGCTGAAAGGTTTAACTAGTCACTCAATGACTGTTTTACATCTTTCTATAATAAGATTTTATGCTTATTTGAAAAATATAAAGACCAGACAAACCTGCATTTGGGACATCGTATAAGTCCGGATTTAGGTTGAGAGTGACCACATACACAGCGGACATCAGCCCATACATTATTACCGACCCAAGCGTTATCAACAGCCGGCTGAATATATGAGCCATCGGAAGAAGGAATAACGATCTGAAATACAAATTTAAGGAACGTTGATGCAAAAAAAATTATTTTGTTCATTGTTTTAAAAAAGTAACTTATGATTGGTATTTTCTCCAGCTGGAAAGTAGTCAATTTCAGATAACACCAAGCGTGAACGATAGTATGAATGTTGGACGACAAAAGAAACAATAATTAGACACCGCTCTATTAATACATTTAGCGCAAATTTAAAAATTCAACCTAAGTAACAAAAGCAACATTGTATGAAGTCATTAATTCGACTAGTACTCATCGGTCGACAAAAGTCCTAAAGAAACAGATCAACTACTTTGCGTAAACGTTAACAAGGTATAGTTTGCTACTTGGTTACAGAAGGACAATTAAATAAGCAGAGAATTTACGACATTGTATGTGCATTTGCAAGCAGTAAACAACTCAGAGTAAGTAACAGCAGTGATAATCAACACATTGCTTGATCTCAGAAAGATAGAGAATGCACAATAAGGACATGTACATCAAATTTTATTGGCTTGTTGAAAATGACTTGAATGTCTGCCACAAGATTAAACTCATATGCTTGAAAATATTTTACCTACAAACTCTTAGATATAATACAGCTAGTTGGCTAACCTATTTTATCCAAACAAATTCCAATTACTTAACATGAAAATGCTCTACCTAGATTTAAGTCCATCTACAGTTTTTAAGAGCTCTTAAGTAGCTTCAAATTATGTTGAATGAAAAGAATCATGATTAAGCAATCTCAGTGGCCATGTGATTACGTCTGATGTAAAATGTAATCATTAATAAACTGTATTACCATAACAAATTGCAAAAGTGACATACTGAAATAGTGTATGAATCGTAAAAAAATAAGATTACCTTTGCAATATAATCCACTTCTGATGTGTCACTATCCAAATCACTTAACTGAGAAGGTGAAACAGCAAGTTCTTCGGGCACTTCAATGACCTACAAGATGTAAAAGCTCATGATTATTAACGAATCGCCTACTTACTGCAAGCTTTAAGTAGTATCGTAACGAATCGCGACATATTAAGTAGGAACTTAGTTATCGCCACAGTGTGGAAGTAAACACCCGTCCCATAATGAAGCAGTGATCACACAACTATCTGTAATTACTATGCCTCAGATGTGGGTTCCATACGTCTTGTGTTTGAGCAACCGAGGCACTAAAGAAGGATATGAACATTATGACGACACTAAACCAACACTATAAGTAGAAGCACGTGGCTGTCGTCTGAACAGTCGAACTTAAATGTTCGTTAGGTTTGACTGTTATTCCCATTATCACGAAATTTCACATACACATTTATTCCTTTAGGAATTACACTTTCCATTTCAGCGTTTCACGCGTAGACCTTTCTAGAAATTTTCATTTTTTATTTATATTTTTATTTGAATACAAATATTGGTACAAGAGGGCACCAAATATATATGCGCCATACAAAACAATGAGAATTCGAAGAGAGAAAAAAAGGAGGTAAGGGGCGTAAAAAAAGAACAGATTAGTGTAATGTAGTGAAATAATAATAATAATAACGGGGAAAACGGAAAAGTATAATCAGAAGAAATCTTTCAGTTAAGGAAGAAACAACCATTTTTTATGAAAAAAAGTAAAAGAAGGTTACAACAGGATCGCCACTGGCTTCTATTCTGAGCCATATCTCATAACGCCTCTAGCCACTGTGTTGCCCCATCTCTAGGACCTCAGCCAGGGAGTCGTGAAGAACCAACACAAGCCAACCCTTTGCAGCTTTCTTTCATACCACGACACCATGTCATACACTGACCACCTCTCCGCTTTTTCCAACCAGTCCCAGTGTCGGCAAATTATGCATGATGTGTAATTCTCTGGGACGACATTCGTAGAACATGTCCAAGCCACCGAAGTCTGTGTTTCAAGATGGTGACACCAAGTGCATTATCGTCTCTGTGCCCTAACACACGATGCCGAACCTCTGCATTACTAACATGGTGTTGCCACTGGATGTCAGCAATCCTTCGGAGACCGATGATCGAACACAGAGAGTCGTCTAACATCCTCAACTCAGAGAGGTCAGGTTTCACAAGCATAAAGCGAAACTGCTCTCACCGATGCGTTGTAGATCCCACCTTTTAAAGCCAGACTAACAACACGAAGGCACAAAACATGGCCCAGATTGGCATATGCCGCTCTGGCTTTCACCATACGTGCAGTGATCTCATCACTCACGCCACCACCAGCACTTATGCAGCTATCCAGATACACGAACTTATCGACTACTTCTACCTGCCCACCACTCAGGGTGAGTACAGGATTAGAATCCTGCCAGTCTTGTAGAAGTACATTGCACTTCGAAGGTGCAAAGCACATATCATACCTACGGACATTGATTGCCAACTGATTAATGGCGGATTGTATGGCTTGGGCATTATCGCGTACTCAATGTCGAGAAGTCTTTCTCCAGGCAACAGATCCACACCACCATTACTTACATCCATCAGAGCTGTTTCCAGAATGTCATCGATGGCAAAATTGAAGAGGAATGGTGAGATTCGGCAACCCTGTCTAACCCCACTTGCTCGAATGGAACAATGGAGAAAGGTGGTTGTATGCCCTCACTCTGCCTGAGTTGTTTGTATATAGGGCCTTTAGGGTGTTAATGAACTTCTCAGGCACACCCTTCTTCAATAGACAATCCCAGAGAACAGTCCTGTTCAACGAGTCGAAGGCAACCCTAATGTCCAGAAACACTACGATTGTTGGCCTTTGATAAGTATGACGGTGTTCTGACATTTGGCGGAGGGTGAAGATATGATCAATACATCCTCGACCGGAACGAAACATAGCCTGCTCCTCGCGAGTCAATCTTTCTCGGGTTTTGAACAACCTACGAAGTATGACGGAAGCCAATAGCTTGGAGGCAATCGGAAGTAGACTTATCGCCCGATAGTTGTTACAGGAACGACGTGAACCCTTTTTAAAGATAGGGACAACTATCGACTCATTCCGTGACGTTGATACAATCTCGAGCTCCCAGACCTTTGTAAACAACGTCGTCAGTTCCTTAGTCACAAAGTCACCGCCATCTTTAAAAAGAGCCGGAGGCAAGTCATCTGGGCCAGGTGATTTGTAACGCTTCAAGAGATGGAGTTCCTTGCGGACTTCCGCCTCATTTAGTGGATTAGTCGTCACCGGCCATGGAAGGCAGAACAGTCAGACCGATGTTGCCGGAGCAGCAGGCCAGTTGAACTGCCCTTCGAAAAATTCTGCCCATTGTCCAAGACGTCGATGGATGTTAGTGATCGGCCTCCCATCATCCTCGCAGATTGTTTCGCTCACACCAGACTTCTTGCTGCCAGTGGCTCGGATGAGTTGGAAGAGCTTCCGGTAATTACCAGATGCAGCTGCTGCTTCTAGCTCATTAGCACGCTTCGACCACCAGGCATCTCGGTCCTTACGCAAGCTTTGCCCAATTTCATTACGTAACATCCTTCGTTTATGGTCAAACTCACGGTCACCCGGAGTAGACCGACGAGCTTCAATGAGTTGTAAGGAACCTGGAGAAACCCAGTGCTTGTAAGCGGGACGTTTCGCGAACCCATAACTGACTGCACCCACCATTTTCATGGCGTCATGCAATTGCAACCAATGCTCATCTATACTTTTCGGTGGAATGGTAGCTAGCCTAGAAGCTAGCTCGATTCGATAGTTACTAGCAAAAAAAGTTGCAACCAGCTTGCTAACACCAATCCGTTGGTGGCGGTCACTTCGTTGTCCACTGAAAAGTAAGGTAAGATTGGTACACACCAGAGCATGATCACAGTCCAGATAGGCACTCCAAAAGGAGCGGCAGTCTTGTACACAACCACGAGAGCGGTAGCTGATCGCGATGTGATCAATCTGAGTCCAGGCTTGAGATGCAGAGGGAGGACGCCAGGTGGCACATCGGCGATGACTGTGCCGAAAGTTAGTGCTGGCCAGAAACAGGATGTGGTCTGTGCAAAGTTGCAGTAGACGGTCCCCGTTATCTGACCTGTGACCAACGAGTCCCCATCAGCCACCTAAACAATCCTCTTCTGTGCCTAGACGCCCGATCTGAGCATTCAAGTCTCCGGCTAGTACTACAATATCTGTCGAACGCACTTTCTGGAGAATAGATAATTGGTGGTAGAATTCATCCTTGATTGCATCCGGGCTGCAATCTGTCGGGGCATAAGCGGAGATGACGAAAACACATCGTTTCTCACGCCGATTTCTTCTCACGTTGATGGAACTTTCTAATCTAGAAAGGGTAGCCCCCAAATGCCCTTTCTAAAAAGCTTACTTGCTGACCAGCAATTGGCTTATAAAATAGTTGTTTGGCGATGAAATTAACGAAACATATTAGCTTAAAGACCTTGTATAACAATGTAAGGAAGTTCGAGATCTATTCCTATCAGTCTAAATGTAAAATGTAGCTTCAAGACAAGTCACCATCAATGCCGTTTGACCATACCACAGACAGTGAAGTAGATGAGATCATTGGCCGCTTTGACTATCTTGAGAGTTTCATCAGTTAAAATGTTGCTATCTGACGGAATTTCGACATGGATAAATTTTGCTTAGGATTTTCCCGTTTGCACCACTTACAGTTTAGGTGAAACATCCATATGAATATCCGAGAGCAAGTGTACTTTTCGGCAGTACGCTCTATTTGACCATAGTACTTTTTAAGGATTGATGGCATATAATGGAGCAACGGAATGTGCAATAATGAAATCGGACTTGGAATACTAGGCAAAGATGCTAAGTAGATCGCTTTCGACTAAGTTGAGTGGAAGATGTGTAAGTATTTCTGATCGTCGGTTACCCTGACGCGCAATGTTGGCTGGAATAGGATCAAATTTAAGAAAAACCGAGGTGATGTTTGCCCATGAAGTTATTGACTAATGATAAGTTCAAACTACTTGATTAGCCTAGGTGTGGTAACCGTGACTAGTGACTAAACGTTGGTTAAGATGACTCAGAACCGGTCACAGTAGTGCAAATACACTTACTCTTTAACATCTTGATCTTGCATCCCAATATTCCTTTATTCTTAACTTCTGATTTTGTCTTCTTGAACCAGTTTAATGTTTAGTATTTCGTATTGTCGATGCTAGTCCCACTATTTCAACTTCCTCTCTGTTCATTGCATTAATTTCATATCTTGCTGATTAAATGGTGACAACTTAGGCTAACGCGCAACTACGCAAGGTCTTACGATAACTATGATTGACTGAAATTAATACCTTTGTTATACTGACTAATTTTCTTTCCTTGTTATCAAAGTAATATATCAGCACTGAATTTTAGTAACTTGAATAAATGCACAGTTTTGCCTTGTAGTACGTCGAGTAGGATTGACATGGGGTCCCTGTCTTCTTTATCACTAATTATTTCCCAGTACCGAGACTTTATAAGGAATCCGAAGGTGGTCAAGTACATAAATGCAACTGTAAATCTAAAAAGATATTAGTTTTGTTCTTGGTATTTTAATACCACCGATTTCTTTCTTATTAAATAAGTTCCTGATCCATTTCATAATTATTGCCTATTTGTCTTATATTGAGTACTATGCAGTATATAAATGAAATTTAGACCATAAGCTCACTGTGTAATAAGAATGGTGAAAGGAATCATTTTTTCTATCTAGAAATCCAAATAAACACTGATCGTTTATTCTGGAAACTAACTAGGCGTATGTCAATATTAGTTGCGTAAACAGCTCAAAACCGATGGTGTTAAGCGAACATAATCAAAGCTAGCGAAAACACATAAAACATTCATTCTAATCTTCATAAGTCTACGAAATTAAGCATTTTGAAGTGCACAGCATATGAACGTTTGTGAAAATATATTAACTCAACATACCTTCAACTCAGGTTCACACCGTAACTCCATTTGTTCATAATTGGAAATTTGTGAGCCAAATCGTGAAGGTATATACTGATCCTTCGAATCACTATCCGCCAACGATTTGTCGTCGAGATCTATGGATTTAGAATACCATATCCCACTAGAGTGCTTTTTACCATCACTGCTGTACATACCATTCCCTTCGAGTGTGGAGCGTTTAAAAGTAAGTGAACTTTGCCTATCGAAACGCTTATCAATATTATGTTTTTGCCCATTATCTTCAGCCCCTAATTTACAGCCTGACTTTTGGGCAAACAAATTTTTCGAGCAGAGATTGTTCAGCTTTGTATCTGAAAATTTATTTTTCGGCACTTGAAGATCCATTAAATGGGGTGCCATTGAGGGGGGAGTTAATCCTGAAGGAAGGGCGTAATTATGATCGTTATACTTCAGGCCAAATGAACAAATAGTTGGGCCGAATGAAAGTGATGTATCCGGATACATCGTTTCAAAATCTTCCTCACTAACAAATAGAACAAAAAATAAATAACATGATATATGGTATGGTTATGGACAGTTTAGTCAGCCAGTCGAACCAAACGTAGAACCGGGTACATGTGTACAAACATTGAAATTGACATACCTCATTCGCACGACGAGATGAAATTGTCAGAGCAAATACCAGGGTAGTAGCGGTATCAACAGTGTTGATAGTAATAGAAAAGATAAGCATCGAAGAAGTGATCCAGGGAAATATGGAGTCATGGAATAAAAACAATTAACAGGATAATTTACAAACTAAAGATCCAAGAGGAAGCAAAGAGTGAGGGCACATTTCAGAAGTTTTCTAGTCGTCATTCAAAGTCTCTAATCATTGGTCACGATAATTACGAGGACTCCGACCAGATAGTCTGTACCCTCCCATATAAACTTAACGGAAACATTTATGAGTATTAGGGATTAAGCAGTTACACTTTCTTGACAGCTATTGCCGGAAAGAATCCTCCTCAGACTGATTATAGGTAATCTGAAATCTCTGTCCTAACGTACTGCTATTATAATCTGGGTTAAACATCCTTAAGACTAAAGAATAAATGGCTTAGGTCATTGGTAAGCAAACTTAAATTCCAGAACTCAGTGTAGACTTAGTCAGTATACCCCAAACAATTTCTAATATCTGTTAAGTATTTGCAAGATTGTTATACTCAAGCTACGAAGGAGTCATATGGCTGCAGAGCAAGTTACCTTACTCAAATCCTTTCGCGAATCACATCAATTCAGTGGATATTAAAACGTGTCCTCAAGAAAAATGCGAGAATTTCTGAAAGGGTTACGCAAAAACTGAGGTGAAAACACGTTCCTAAGGATAGAACTGTTACCAACTTGATGGGAAAAGGGTAAATCATGCCTAGGTGGCTTAGTTCGTGTAGAATATTCCAGGACCACACGTTAAATCTGTGCTTCAGCTAAATCAAGTGTTTCTACTAATTGAAATTTGCAAATATCTCTATAAATTTTGGCTATAGCACAGCAGAAACCAAACTGTCAATTGAGACCCCCGAAGTGCTATTTCGTGATCACTAGTCTAAATGAAAATGTGGAACTATGGAACAAGAAATCTTGATTATGTTAATAACATCGTCGGATGAGTGGACGTGAAAACTGACAAACAAAACATCTAGTCGAGTCTCAACCCTAGTGCAGGTTGCTAAACTTCAAATGTAATGGAAATTTCACTAGACCCCCTTCCAGGTTTCAACACAAACTGCGTCAAGAGTACTATGAACCGAGCATTATTATTGTCCGTCTAAATCACGAACACTCAGTACCATTCCACGTTATAAAACACAGACCAAAACTAAAACCACACAAGTGGGTATTAAGCTCTAGTCTAAGGGGCACATTTACTGGTATTACAAACAACCCGTTTTAGCTATCTCGAGAACTAACTATAAGTGAAACTTGTCTCCTAGTCTTTGACTTAATTTGTTGGATAACTAGGATACCTAACGACATTATCCAGTTACATTTATATAAGCAAGACAAAACAAGATTGCTCTCATATGAAAGCATTCCTTAGAAATTGAAGTGGGACATTTGTGTATTCCGTGTACATTTCAATAACTTACTCTCCTTTAAGCTCTACACAAGCAGTTAGTTCAAACATTGGTCCAACGAGACGAATACCACTTTCAGGATCTGCATTGCAATATTTTTTCTGTGCAGATTGAAAAAACGAACTGTAGTTGTGCGACGGACGACCATCAGCGCCTCGAGACAAATAGGTTGTCCTCCTTCTAATGTCCATATTTACACTAGTTTTGTACAAGTGATATAAGAGGATTATAGATTAGTGATAGTCGAAAAACAGCTGCCAAGCATAGTGAAGAGACGTCCACAAGTCGATAGTCGCGCACTGTACCTACCTATTGTGCAGATTGGATGCAGACAAACACTAACTTCTAAACACTTTTACCACCCATATAGAGAATGTTTGACGAAATTTATTATACAAAAACTCTATTCCAACACTTCTACCCTAAATTAAGAAGATATCGTACTCTGGATTTTTTTAATAATTATAGGTTAGTTGTACAACATAGACAGTTATGATATCAATTGTTTGTCTGTGATGTTTAAGTATTATTGTGTGAATACGTAATCTGATGTTGTTTTGTGTTTATATTTTCGACCAGCTTCAACGTGACCTACGTGCTCGTTTCAAAAACGGCAGTGATTTTTGTACTTGTTGTGATTATACTTGCTTTGGGTACTTATTGCAACAAAAAGCACTCTTGGTCTACTTTAACTAAAAGTACTTTGGTTAAAGTTTGAAATTTTTGCTAAATTTTGTCCTAGGTACCCTTTTTTTACTCCTAGACCAACACTTGTGTTCATATTGTGATCATTGTGTGTTTTTAAACCTTTTAAATCTAATTACAAAGGTTGGTAAGACTCACAAATGTGAGCAACCAAATTTTTTGTTCCCCGTTGAAGAGGGAATGCAGTGTGATGACTGTAAAAAGTGGTACCACACAATGTGTACACGCCTAAGTCCGATGGCATACGAAAGATGCTCGAAGCCTAACTCGCATTGGCTTTGTATGTTCTGCTGCACGGATAAGAAGGTACTAACTCAGGAGGCTATGGGCCTATTGGCTTTGGCCTGCCAGAAAAACGATGACACATGCGCTGACAACACCGGTAGTGACAGTGACTTAAGATGACGCAGGTATTCAGTGTATGACAACGCTTTAACCAGCAACACCTTCCAATATAATTTGTACCCACCGAGAGTAATCAAAAAACAGAGTCGAGGAGATCGGAAGAGTATATTTATTTATATATTTATTTACCGCTACAGATCACTCCCCCCCCCCTAGTGTGTTCGTGGTGACCCTAAGACGTGGCCAGCCAGAAGTTTAAACCCAGCGAGTTTGTCGTTGGTAAACACTCTTCTGATAGCTTGCTAGGATTAGCAGCGTCTGTTCGTCTTTCCTTACTATATGGGACCGAGGTACAACATAGTAAAAAAGAAAAAGTACAATGAAAATTTCAGCTCCTCATAAACGTCATCGTTCTTTTCCAGCCGTCCTGGAAAAGAAAAATGAAAATGTAAGTGCATGTCGAAATACACTCGTATGTGCGCAAAAACACAATGTCGGCGAAAACATTGGAAAATAAACTCATACACACGCAATAGCGTTTAAAAAATGTATAATGTTTTTTTGTTTTTTGAAATAAAAATAAAAATATATAGGCATATTAAAAAAATTTTTAAAATATATTATATATCGTAAAAAGAAAGTTCGAGATAATATTAAATGTCTAATAATGCCTTACGTGCAATAGTCGTTTAAATGTTCTGGAAATCTTACTCTTCTTCCAGAACACTTCGTTTTAAGTTTATTTTCAGATACATTCGGAATTATGAGTGGAGTCGTGTCGTTCGATTAAACCGAAGGAAAATCGATGTAGATAGGATTTCCTTCTAAATACGCTGCTTTGAGACGATTGATGCTGATGCTATCGTTGGTTCCGTTCTTATCGATTATTTAAACTCGACGAACAAAAAAGTGTGTACAATATCGTAAGTCAGGTTGAACGAAAACATCAGTTGATTGAGGTCGAGTGGAAGCAGCTTTAACTGAACGCATTGCGTTTGTAAGCCTGTTCGCGTAGGAGGTTAGATCCATGTTCATTGAAAAGGATGAAGGATCCACGAATTCTCCTGTAAGTTGAAATGCCGTTCCATAAACGAGTTGAGCCGCAGTGTATCCAATGTCAGCTTTCACTGCATTGCGGATACCTAGTAAGACGAGTGGAAGAGCGTCGGTCCACTGTGAAACGTTTGCAGCTGATAGCGAAGCTTTTAGTTGTCGGTGAAAACGTTCTACCAACCCGTTTGCTTGTGGATGGTAGGCGGTCGTTCGGAAGCGAGTGATTCCTAAAAATGTGGTCAGACGACGGAAAGTTCAGATTCAAACTGATGTCCGCGGTCTGTGGTGATGGTTGAGGGGTAACGGAAATTCGCTACCCATCGTTCGACGAAGGTGCGGGCCACTGATAGGTACTGCTTCTGGCCATCGAGTGAAATGGTCTACGTAGGTTAAGAGGTAAGAGTATCCATTTGAATCTGGTAAAGGTCCTACCAAATCCAGATGAACATGGTCGAATTGAGCATCGGGAGTTTTAAACGAGCCTAAGGGACATTTATTGTGTCTGATAACCTTAGATTTTTGGCAGCTTACACAATACCGTGCCCACTCCCTCACGTCTTTATTCATTCCAGGCCAGCAAAACCTTTCTGCTATAAGCTTGATTGTTGCACGAACACCTGGATGCGAAAGTTTGTGCAATGCGTTGAAGACATCGCGTCGATAATGTTTCGGAACGATTGAGCGATCCCTACCTGTAGATGTGTCACAAAGTAAGGTTTCCTCACCTGTTCCCATCTGTTTGATGCGTAGTTTAAGTGTTATGGACGATAACTCGTGCTGAAGATCACTGTCTTCTTTTTGAAGCTCGGCGAGTTTAAGACGGTCGATTCCTTGGAAACTGTTCAAGGAAGTTATGCGAGATAAAGCGTCTGCAACTACATTGTTTACTCCAGAGATGTGTTGAATGTCTGGAGTAAACTGCGAAATGTAGTCCAGTTGTCGAGACTCATGGGGAGAGTACTTGTCAGAAGGAGAGCTTAACGAGAAAGTGAGCGGTTTATGGTCCGTGAAAAGAGTGAATTCACGACCTTCGATGTAGTGTTGGAAATGCCGTACAGCACAATACATAGCTAGGAGTTCCCTACCGAATGTGCTGTACCTTGATTCGGTGTCTAGCAACCTTCTAGAGAAAAAGGCCAAGGGTTGCCAGGAGTTGTTGACCCATTGTTGTAAGACTCCTCCGATTGCTGAGTCGGATGCGTCTACTGCGATGCTAATGGGTGCTCGGGTGTCCTGATGTGCGAGCATTGTTGCTTTAGCAATCAGTTCCTTAACTGTGGAGAATGCTTTTCGTGCGGTGTCGTCCAAAATAATGGATTTCGCATTTCCACTTCTGCGCCAGTGTCGACGAGGTAGCGAACTCTCGTTGTCACATCTGTGACGTATAGCAGACGGCTATGTTTGCCGGCTACGGTTGCCGTTAACGCGTGCCGGCTTGGAGGTTTCCCGAGTTGTTTTTCGAATCAGTCGGTTTCGTGTTGGGAAAATTGCAGGGTTTTCTGCAATTTCTGGAAAACTTTCCATACTGGTTATGATACAAGCACCAGTCGGGGTTATCTGTCTCTCGTGGTCTAGAGACAGATCGCTTACGTGAAATGCTTATACGTGGGGTGTACGAGCGATTACGGTCGTTGCGAAAATGAAGATGACATGTAAGTGCATTACATAACGCGGTTATGTCGTTCTGAGTCGTTTGAGGCTTTTCTTTCACTGAAAAAAACTCGGTAGTAGATTTCGTAATTTCTAAAATGCAGTCGGCAGATGCAGCTAGCACGTCTAAGACGTTGTTTTGAAACGAGACAAGCACAGCTTGCACCTGTTCAGAAAGTTTAGACAAGAAAAGTTGTTTAAACAGGCCTTCGTCGAAAGTTCTTAAGCCTAATACCTCTCTCATCCTTTGCAACATGTCCGTTGCAGAACCGTGTTGCAGGCCTATACTACTAAAAATTTGATCTAACCTTTGTCGATCGGTTAGGTCTCCTCGTTTAAGAATCGAGCGTTTTAGGATTTCGTAAGGATCGGAAACATCACTAGTAAACATACCAGGTGTTACGTACCTGTTGAATTCGCGCGGTGGTGCCTTGACTACTGCGGGGAATTGTGCACGTGTGTCAATCACGTCGTGCTCGGAGAAGTCGGCTACTGCGTAGTAAAACCAGGCTTCGATGTTGTCGGGCCAGAAAGGCATCAGTTGAAACGAAGGTGGGGACAAAGTCTTAAGCTTGAGTACTTTAGGTGTCTGTTCAGTCATGATGAAGTATGATAATGAACGAGGGGAAAATATATATATCCAGGAAAAAACACGAAAAAAATCACAATGTTTAAAAAAAATAAAAAAATGAGGCAATGATATATAAAAATCCCAAAAAGGAACAGACTCACAGTTGCAATTAGGTGTACCAGATCACGTCGGTCTCACCAATGATGATGTCACAGGTATTCAGTGTTTGACAACGCTTCTACCAGTAACACCTTCTAATATATTTCGTTCCCGCTCAGAGAAATTAAAAGACAGAGTCGAGGAGATCGGAAGAGTATATTTGGCGATGACCAATATATCGCAAATTCTCTGATCTAATTTGGCTAGCGATTGCAGTAGCAGTTGAGCACGGCGTTACCACACGTGATCTGGTGCGGATGCCTGACCGAGCGCCTTCAGCTAGATGAGTCCACTAAAACATATGGTTAGTATCCAATGTCAAAAACTTACAGAGCTATTTATTTTGGGGTTTTATTTACCTCTACAAGGTTCTCAGTTGAGTTGTTGATATCTTTGGTAATAGTCTTTGTTATCGGAATACCCCAGAACAGCTTTGGTGAACTTTCTTTGAACACCTTCAATTCTAATCAGGTCATTATGTCTACAATTACTGTAAACTAAAATACCATATTCAAGAATGGGTAAGATACATTTTCTGTATAGTAACAACCTCGGATCGATATTATTGAAGTTTATCATTATCAATCCGATGAGCTTTCTAGCTTTGGATACTTGAGATATAATGTGTTCAGAAAAGTTCAGATTATTGCTATATGTTAAACCCAGGTCACGAACAGTGTTGAGAGGTTTGAGTGTATGTGTCTGTACAGTCAGATTTAAGTTAAGACAGCGACCAATGTGAATAAATCCACTTTTGTCAACATTAGGTGGCATATTCCACGAAATAGTCCATTCGTACAACTTGTTTATTTCCTCTTGGATTACCG